CGGGGAATGCGAGTATAGGATTCGTGAGACAACTGGGTATCACGAAAGCGAATGAGGTGCTTATCATGTCGAAACGCATCACATGCGATGAACCTTTAGCAACGGGAGCGTAGCTGGCTGACATTATAGAGACGTGTATAGTGTAGACTGTATGAGGAATGTTCTCTGCGAACGTACTCCTGAATTCATCGAGTTGGCGTTGCAAGCATATACCGTTGTTTGTAACACCAACTGGATGAATTCAGAATTACGTTCGCAATGCTCGATCGGATGCCAGGAAGAAGTCCTGACTGGTATGATACATGAGCGCATCGCCGTCAAAGAAAATCTCATCGAGTTGAGGATGCCACACCACGAAGGATGCCTTTGAATCAAAAGCTCTGTAGTCCTTAATGCTTCTTCGCGTCCTTCTCTTTCTTCTTCTCCGCGATCAGCGCACTCAGCCTGAAGAACGACGTGAACCCTTCGACGAAACACGTGCCCACCCACTTCCACCATACCGCATCAAGAAACGTGCATCCGTGTTTCGCAAGCTTCCTCGCCATGATGATCGCTTCAACCATGTGAATAGGTACCATGATAGCCCAAACCGTGAAGCCGATTCGAGCGACGAAGTTCGCGAAGCCTGGCACAAGATACAACACGGTGTCGTAGAGAAGCGATCCAGGCTGCCAGTTTGCTGGCCGCGGCAGCAAGAGCAGGGCAAGCACGCATTGCGTAAAGTTCCACAGATGAGCAGGACGCATGTACGCAGGAACGAACTTTGTGATGGCGATGTCGCTTCGGCCCAGGGTCTGGAGAGCGTCTTTGTCCAGTTGAACAAGCCGCTCGCGAGCCTCGCGCATGGCCTTCATCGGTGGGTCGAAGGCGATGACAGCTTGTTGCCCACCGCAGCTCAAGACCATCTGGTTCAGATTAATGTCGACCATCTGCGCCGAGCGACTCTGCATCATGGATTTGGAAGCGTACGCTTCGGCATACCGGCGTATCTACGGTCAAGATTAGGACTGGAACTCGAATCCGACATCAATGGTGCTTGAAGTGGGTGGCGCGTACGGAGTCGTGGTGGTCTGCATTCATGTGCTTGATGATCCGCTGCTTTGCGGCTGCATCTGCAGCTTCTGGGGATGTCATGCTGAAATGGTAGTATGCTGGTGTCCAATTGACTGGTTGGCCTCTTTGAGCTCTGGAGTAGGTGCGTATGGAAATGCCGTCGTCACGATACCCGCCAGACCGGCGCAATTCGGGCCGGCCATCGGGGAAGATCTGGTGCGCCCCGCGATTGCGTCTTCCCAACGATCGTTAGCACAACGCTCATGATATCGAATTTATCGCGGGATTCTTTCGACGCTGCGCTACCTCAGATCTATTGTGCGCGCTATGAAGACGCGTCCCCATTTCTACGCCAACACTAAACGGTCTCCCGCACCCTGTGGGTAAACGTTCCGCCAGACCACTGATCGAGGCCTCGCCCGTGCCACAGCATGTCCCAAAACGTTGATGTCAAGCGCATTCAGCTGACGCGTTGCTCGATGCATCGCTGCTGGGCTTGGTGCGCGCGCCAATGACAAGCAAGCGAGACCAGAGGCACACGAGCTCGCAGCGCATCGGGTTGAGCGGAACAGCTAGACTGTCGCAAGCACGATTTCGGATCTAAAATAATCAGGTTGGCAGCGCGCAGGGATGGGGTCAAGTTTTGGGACGCTGGCGGTGGGGTGGATGTGGGTGCCACATGGTGCGTCAGACTGCATGACGGGTGGCTCGAGTGCGGCAGGGGTAGCAGGTACCTTGAAGCTTCAAACCGGTTCCTGTTCCCAGGCCGCTTTTCTCTTATTAACGAATTGCGCCGCGGCTCTGGACTTGCAACAATTTCCGAAGCACCTTCAGCTCATCACGCATCACCCGTCTAACTACTTCCCACCCACCCAAAGACCATCCAACCAGCACCATGGCGGACACAGTTGAAGAGACCAAGCAGTCTGTCTCCGGAGAGGGAAACGCGGATGCCAACGCCTCGGTAGGCGCAAAGGGCAGTGCGGAATCATCGAGTAAGAAAACCGAAAGGAAGACGCCGAAGAAGCTGGGCGGAAAGAAGCCTCAACAGCAGCCCACTCCTGACGCCACTCCTGCCCCCGAAAGCGATGGCGAAGGGAAAGCTGAGCAAGAGGACGCAGAATCCAAGAAGCAAACCAACGGCGGCGACGCTGACAACGAATCCGACGAACCCCAACAAGAAAAGTCAAAGTCGCAATCGAGACGCCGCCAGTCGCGTGGCCGTGGCCGACGGGGCGCAGACTCCGGTGCCGAGTCTGATGCGCGATCCGACGTGTCCCAATCTGGAGGCCGTCGCAACCGCCAGCGCCAAAAGAAGGGCGGCAAGGGCGGAGGTCCGCTAGACGACATCACCGAGAACGTCCCTGGAGGCGATGCCGTTGGTGGAGCCGGCGAAATGGTCCAGAACACTGCTGGTAACGCCGTCAACCAAGTTGGAGACACCGCTGGCAAGGCTCTCGGAGGACTCACTGGCGGCGGCGGCGGTGAAGAAGAGGGTGGAAAGGACGGAGGTGAGCAGCTGAGGCTGCGCCTGGAACTCAACCTCGACATTGAGATCCAGTTGAAGGCCAAGATCCACGGTGATCTCACGCTTGGATTGCTGTAAGTCAAGCCTGCAGTCATTTATCACCGAAGCCAAATGCTAACTTTGCGCAGTAACTAGAAGACGGCCGAGGATGAATGCACGAAACGCATCGATTGTTATATTGGGAGATCATAATGGCGTTTGGTTTGGAGTTTTGCATGTAGTGTTACGATACGTATTGCAGTATAATACGACACAATGAACAACTTGCACCACCATTTATTGCTGAATCATCGCGCTGGCATACTGATAGTGTCGGTATCTCTGTAATCTCATCCAACTTCGTCATGATCATCGCAGCGTCAGGGGATGTCTCTACTAGGCGTGTTATTACCAGGCCCTGTAATAATACCACAGTAACCGAGAGCGCATGCGACGTCAACTCATTGAGCATAAAGTAAAGTATCCGAGCCAGAGTCAGAACTTGACAACTATTATGCCCGGGATCGAGTATTGCACAGCCGTTGCCCGCGAGATCAACGGTCCGCGTTAAGCGATCGGCGGGCGGCCTAGCCACTCGCGTGGGCGCGAGACTGGTTGTGCTTCGCCATCGCTGCGCGCGTCGTCAGCATGTGTGCAAATGTCGGGCGACTTGCAAAGACGCGCGCAGATGCATCGTCTTGACATACGTCACGCAGCGGCTGTCAACCCGATTGGGACAGCCATGGCTGGTGTCGCTCGATGTGGGCCTGACGTCATCCGTAGCGAGCCTGAAACGGTGAGACGGTACGACGGATGAAAAGACAGGGGTGCGAGCTTGCGGCGGCGGCGTCCTTGCTTTGGGGGCTACAGAGGACCAGGCCGTTGCGAGTAATCTTGTTTTTGGAGTGGAGCTGCCCGTACCAGTCGTGGCGTGCGTAGGCGTGTGGTAGCTCCGCTTGCTGCTCGACCTTGCTGACTTCACATCTTGCTCGCATCCATCGCCGTTACCTCGACACCTCTGCGCAATTCTTCACCTCCATCCCGCAGACAGTCCCCATCCAGAACAGCCTCCTCCAACCGCCCGAGGCCTTGCATGATAGCAAGGATACCCGACGACATGGCCGACAAGGACTCCGACTATGAGAACCAGCCGCACGAGCGGTCGACGATGCAGCAGGAGAAGGCTGTGAACAAGGCAAAGCAGGACAAGCGCGAGGCGGGCCTGCAATCCGCCCGGTCGCGCTCCTCGTCGCGCCGCGCCCGCCGCAACCGCATCGAAGAAGACAAGAAGAACGGCAAATACATGCACACGACGTCGCTAGAAGCCCTCGAGGAAGCCGACGCAAACGGCGATCTCCAGAAGATGGGCATGTTCGAGCGTATCGGCCCGGACAGCACATCCATGGACGGGCCCGTCACATATGCCCGCGCCATGCGAGGCGAGATCCCCATGCGCGGCACCGACCCCAACCAGCCCTACCGCATGGAGCCGCAGCAAAAGGGCAGCGAGCTCAAGGACCAGGACGGCCTGAAGCTGACGCTCGAGGCGAATCTGGAGATTGAGATTGAACTCAAAGCGAGTATCCGCGGCGATTTGACTTTGAGCTTGTAGTAAGTCCACCCCTGCCTTCGCCCTTTCGCTTACATCGAGCCTATACATGACTGTACGCGCGAGCGAAAGCGACGGAGTGTCTCTGGAAGATGAGTATGGACGAGTGCTAATTGGCATCACGCAGCCAATAACACGAATATCGTTATCACTTCCTTCCAAAGACATCCTTCGCGTTCGCGTTCGCGCTCGCCGCGCAGTCTGGGCCTCGACCACCACCCCTCCTATCCTCCCCCCTCGTCTTTTCTTCTTCGCCAGCGTCCTGGCGAGACACGTAGTAACTGAACTTAACAGCGAATAGTGCTTGATGGATGTTGCATTCCCCCTCGTTCCACGACCGTCACGAACCCGCCCCGCAGCCGGCGCCGACCGCGAACAACGGGGCAGCGTTATATGGGGATACATGTTTGAGCGTTTAGGAGTTACACTGGTTGCTTTGTAGGGGCTCGGATAGCATGCGACAATAAAAGAATCGATAATGACCATCCATTTTGCTGGCGAGGCGGTCGCATTCCATGCTGTGCATACTTTGGTACCGAATGCAGGTTGCGCGGTGTCGCTCGGAGCAGCTTGTCAGCGCCCGCAGCCTGCAGATGCCCAGTGCCATCCGGCATATTGCGACAGACTGACATGCGCAGGGCAGACGCTCGAATGAATATCTTGAGACCGACAAACCTCCTGATAACCGGTAGATTTGCCATTGCGCCGGCCACGAAAGGGCTTCCTGGACCCTCGCAGCATACGTAAAACCGACCAGCGACCAGCGGGCAGAGCCAATAAGCCGCTGTGTCATGCCTCTCCACACCGAGATGTTTGGTAACGAGAGCCACAATGGCGAGGGTCTCGTACATGCGCTGCCCGCAATATTCTGCGACTGACAGCTTCACACCACATCTCATCTACGTACTGACAACTAAACCCCACCTCATACGACAAGCCTCCTCCAGCAAGCAATCCTGCGTATCAGCAACAAGCGTGCTCTCCCCCTTTCCGATACCGAGTTCGCCGACGACAAAATGGGTGCGTTCAGCGCCTTCGTCACCCGCAGAATGGATCCCGAGGCCGCAGAGAATAGCGGCTTGCGGAGATGGCGCAGACGTGCGAATACGGTCGCAGGAGGTAAGTTCGTTTCGTCTGGCAAGGCTTGGAAGGGCAGTGATGCTGACATGGCGTCGCGCAAAGGTCAGGACGGCCACGATGTCAGGGATTCTTGGGTCAAGCGCGCGGTGAAGGGTCTCTGGGGACGTGTCCATAAGAATGACGGTCGATCGAAAGATGCGGAGGCGACTGGGAATGCGTTGAGGCTCGAGTCGGACAACAATCTTTCTACGGGGGTGAGACCACAGCTGCTGATATCTGCTCCTATGGCTTCACCGATACCTGCACAGTATACGCAAGAACAACATCGTCTCGAGACTCAACCGTCCTCTCCCATAGCCGACCCGGTCTCCCCCTCAACGACCATTACCACCACCCACTTCGGAAGCCCACTGACACGCTTTCCTCGTCATACACATGCGCTAAGTCCCACGTCTGACTGGATCCCGGCTTCCACGAGTCCCCGCATCTCGGAGGTCTCTACCGCCGTCGAGTGGCCCTCGAGTTCTGATCGATTCGTTGACCCCTACAACGAGCTCATCAACGGCATCGAACGGTTTCAATTCGCTCTTCTTGTGGACTCCAGCACCATTAACAACATTTGCGGCGACGTACGAGATGTACTTGAGATAACTAGCAATAATTTGCTGACCGTCGGATGCGACCTACAAAGGCTGCTAGCCATCTGGCGCAAGATCACCGGCAACGCAGCGAACGTTGCGGCGCTTGAGTCGCTGCAACCATGGGCACTTGTAAGCAAGAAGCACGTCGCGAAAGCCTGCGTAGACATGAAGAAAGGACTTCAGTCCTATCGCGAATGGTCGGACATCGTGGCTCGCAACAAGAGGATAGCCCAATCTCAGAACGCGATCAGTCATGAATGGTGCGCAGCCTTGAACAACAAGATGAAAGCGCTCGACGTGCTCGAAGCGCTGGACTTTGACGATGTTGCTGCTCAGGTGGAGCTTGTCATGGGAAAGTGTCTCGGCGTTGAGGAGGAAGTCGCGACTCCAGGTGGACCAGCTGCACCTGCCAGCATGACTAACATGTCGCCGCCTAGCGCCGTCTCCAGATGTTGCCGCACTTCGCCTTCACTGAGCAAGCGCCTGTTCACCTCACTGTCGCGACCGCGATGTGGTTCGACCACATCGCAAGCAAGCCCACGGGCCTCGCAACCAACATCGCGATACTCGCAGTTATGCCAGTCGCCTACACCTACGCCATCACCCTCACCAGCCTCGGTGCAATACGGGAGCCAGCCAACTCCGGCCGTTGGAAGCGCCTCCGGTCATGTTCAGCCTGCAACAGCCAGCTTGAGGTCGACTGTGTCTACCACAAATGCGCCCAGCTATGCCCGGCCGACGAAAGCAAGCCTGGGATGGTGCCAAGCGACAGCCAGCAACAGCAAGACTGCATCCGGAGTCGCGTCAGCATCTCAGTCGCACCGTCCGGTTTCCGCAACCCACGGTCTCCGGGCGACTCGGATACAACTCCAGGGAACCCCAAACGACGAGCACAGGGGCCCCTCACCTGATCTCGAACACGCTCCGCCCGTCCCACCCAAGTCCATCAAGAGACTGATACCCAGGGCGTCCTCCCCGTTGCCCGCTCACCTACGCTCGGACTCAGCCCTCTCTCTATCGCTGAATGACGTGGCCACTACCCGGCGTAGTACCTGCTCTTCAATCTATACTAACAGCAAACTTCCCGTAAAGACCAATGGCACGAGCAATCCGGGGTTCCTTAGAACTGCTATAGCTGATGCGCAGACCGAGCATGACGCGAACACGCCCCGCGTACCTACACCGCGACCTATGCGCGACAAGCTCGCCGTCGGCGTCGATCACGGTCGGGATCCCAGCCCCAACACGCATGATATTGCGGTCAGAATGGATGAGATACGCGCGAGGATGAGCCGGATGACGGCGGACATGAAGGCAAGGAAGGTGGAAAGAGAGAAGAACCTCTCGACACAAGATGGACCGACGGAAGCTAGAGATGATGCGCACGCCCAGGAAGGCTAATGAGGATAGAGATACACCAGACACCAGACGTCATTATGGGCAGCGAACACCAATGAAGTGAACGTCTCCGCGCCTACCAATCTCGCATCCCATTCACCGATCGCGCCCCGGCGTCCTCGCAATCAAACCCGAATGTGCAAACATCATACCAATTTCGCCTATATCAAGTGTTAAGCTTGGAGGACGCCAGAAGGTGCGATGTCTTAGAGTCGCCAAATCGCACGGCAGCTACGTTGGCCTTGGCTTACACAAGAGCCTTCCATGCGTTGTGAAAGGATGCTAATCATCTTCATCCATGCAGCCAGCATTCACGCGCTTCTCATTCGACGGACTTCGCATGGCTGGATAGCTCTTTTCTACATCGTCTTCACAAGCGTCTCGATCTCACGGCCCGATCCTCTGCTGCACCTCGTCGCACCGGACCCAATATGGTGGCGCATCCGCGGTGACCTATAAGAGCGTAATTTTAGGCTGCTGTACCCATAATGTGACTTTACTTTCCAGTCATACTGGACCCGACATGGCTGACCCTGCCCGACCACCTGTCCGCCACGCGCTTCGACCCTCACGGCTGGGTCGCCGAAGAAATGGCTTTCCCGAGATGATCTGCAACAACCGCCTCATCGCAGTCATGATCCACCTAGCAAAGCCCCGAATCACTGGATATGCGGAAAGCAGTGGTATTGACATATTAGAGGCGCAGGTGTCGACTCGAGCACGCACGCACGCTGCAGCAACTCAAAGAATCACTACCGCATTACTATTCGCGTCAACTGGCGTGATGTTATGTTGCCCAGAATATACGAGACTATGCCAAGACGTTCGTGTCACTCCTCGTGAACAGCAGCATCTACACTGACCGCTACTCGTAAAGCAATCCGTGTCCCCGCTCCACGTCTGCTTGTCCAAAGACCCATTCGAGGTGCGACGGCAACTGAACGGCCACACCGCTGACGAATGCTCGCTTGGCAAGTATGCAGGGTTCCTAGCACAATATGCAGCTCAGTTCCGATATCACCGATAATACGCTTCAAGGCGCGCGGCATCGGTACAAACCTCCAGGAGTTCACAAGCACTCAGCGAGACCTTACAACCCTTCGAGCTCGACATATGAGTTGACTAGAGCATCCGAAAGCAACCTGGCATTCTTCCAGGAAAACCGACCCTCAACATGCCTCTCCAGAAGCCTCATCCTGAGGTTCAATCGCTCAAAGTTCAGCATCGAACCAGCCTACAACAGTTACAGGAAAGACGCCGCACGCTCCATAGCATCAGCGAACTCAATGCGATTGACCTTGCGACGCCTGAGTTCCCACCCTTTGCTGCTGCAATACAGATGCTGCCGCGAGACCGGGAACGCGTCCCCAAAGCGGGCAAGAATGCTGAGACGGCTATAAAACAACCAAGTCGATACCGACGATTGTCGAGCTCGGAATGCTCTCAAATCGAAGTCACGGCTCCTGCATCGCTTTCGCATTCTTCAGTAAGCCACCAAGAACGGTACGAACACAGTCTTTCTGACAGAGGGATGAATCTGGAGGAGGAAGACTGGACCGCCAGACGAGACCACCCCGGCTTGTGTTACAGAGGAGCAGTAACATTGCGGGAACGCCGCCGTCAATCCCTGCAACACATGCCGCAAGATGGAAGTTATCCCAGAATGGAGACAAGATCAGTGCGATCTGCCTCACGGCTCAATCTTCGATCATATTCCAGTCATCCTCAGCTACTCGCCAACGGCCATTCATTGAGCGATTTGTTATCTTCCTCGTCGTCAAGCGGCACTCTTGACCGCCGATCCAGCGTTGGAACCATGAACAGCCAGTCACGTCCCTGGTCGCATAGTCTTGAGGCTAGTGATGTGTACACAGGTGCCGGGTTCTTCGATTGCGCCGCACAAGGAACGAACTCTGACTCAATCGATAAACCGTTCAATGCAGCCGAACTTCCACTCATCCCCGTCGGCTTGCACTCGAAGCTGAGATATCGCCAAATACCCACCCCGGCCCATGGGAACCGCCCGCGACCGAACTCAGCAGGCCCGATGCAGCTGGAACTGACAGCACCTTCGGCATCGCTGCCTACCCAGCGCATTGCTCATGGTGACCCGTCACGACAGAACCGGAGACGCAGCATATCTCGCTCCGCTCAGCAGCATCACCAAGGCGAATTGCGAAGAGCGCGTTCGGAGTCACTTACTGCACTCAAAGCTGCGCAATCGGGGTCGTGCGGCCAGCAGCGTACATCGTCCTCGCGCCTCAATATTTCACCGATTGAAGACGCTCTATCCCAGCATACGCACCGCTCATCCCTCCATCGTCATGCGCAGCCGGGTATATATCACGGGCCTCCGCCGCAGTACGTTTCGCCGCCCCCACTGGCTCGCCACCCCGACATAGCTGTGGCCGCACATCGAAGTAGCCCTGGAGTCGGACAGCGCGCGATACCGACGCGCGAAAGCCTGTCACAGTGGAACTCGTAACGCGAAGAAGCCAAGATGGGTCTTGGTGACATGCGTCGCGCAGACATGAAGGAGAGGGTGCGACGCGCGAACGAGTTGGAACTGGAGAAAGAGCAGGAGCTGGTACACTCGGACATGGAAGGGAGTGGTTTGGCGCAGGACAACGCGCGAGGCTGCTTCGGCGCAGTGCTACGTCTGTTCAAAATTGGTTCAGAATGATAATAACTGCAGTCTTGCTATCGCGTGAATAGAGGTTATCTTGGGGGTGAACCGGAACAGGTAACGGAAGAACGGCCTGGCCTTTCGATGTTGGTATTCTCCGCATCAGCCGCGCAGAACACATAGAAAGAACGTACAGAGAGAATGTCGCGCCTTAGTCGACGGGCACTACCGGCAGCGTGCAAGTTGCTCTGTCCGCTTATTATGTCTGCTAGTATTATCTCTCGTTACGTAGATTAATATTTAATTCCTACCTAATAGAGAAATAGCTCTGTTATTCTCGTAGATACTCTAATTATTCTTATTAGTTATATACTTCTATAATAGCTTAGCTCTTACTAACTACCTAGGTAGGTAATAGATAGGTAACTAGTAGAGGTTTATAAAATTTGCTAAAATACGAATTAATAAAAGCTTTACAACTAGATATAACTTAAGCTAGATATTATATTAAGTAATTATAGTATAGTATATCTTCTTAGATTATATTTTTTACTTTACTTATTATTTATATAAAACTTAGTCTTATATAGCCTACGCTTTATCTAAAGAACTTAAAGATATTAAAAAGTCTATTTATACTAAATCTACTATCTAAATTATAGTTAAAGAAGACTATTCTTACTTTAGTAGATATTATTATAGTATTATTATACTTTACTATTAGTCTTATATAGCTAAGTATTAGTAAATACTTATATAATATTTAGAAAAGTAGATTCTATAGCTTTATATCTTAGTATACTAAACTAATATCTTAGACTTTAAGATCTATAGTGCGTAACTCTATATAAAAGAGTAGAAAAATAAAGTAAAAAGATATAAAAAGTAGCTAGAGTTTAATAAATAGTGTAAGAGTAAAAGAATAAAAGTATAATAATTATAGAGTATATATCTATAAAGCTATCTAGAAATATAAGTTTTATATTATTACTAGAGAATTACACTAGCTATATTTATAGTATCTAACTAGTTAAATCTTAAGTATTCTTTAATTATTATAGCTAAACCTTAGAGATATTCTACTTCTAAGAATATATAACTATATATATTCTTCTCTTATAACTATAATAATAGAATAAATAACTAGCTACTTTAATTATATAGTTAGAGAATTACTTAGACTATAGTATAAGCTATATATAAGCTTATTTTCTTAGATTATTATATTTAAAAGCTAATTAAAATCTAATATATATACTTATATAATCTAAGAAGCTTATATTAAACTACTACTATCTATAAAGCTTATATTAGTTATAGTATATACTTAATTTATAATTTAGATAAAGTTTCTCTACTATATAGACTTTACTAATAAATACTATAATTTAGATAATATAGTAGTAAAACTAGTAATAGAATAGAAAGCTAAATAGCTATTAGACTTAAGAGTTAGTATACTAGAGAGAAGCTAGGTCTAAATAGTATTTAGATAAGAATAATAACTATATATATATTATAGTAGTAAAACTAGTAATATAATAAGAAGCTAAATAGCTATTAGACTTAAAAGTTAGTGCGCTAGAGAAAGCTAGATCTAAATAGTATTTAGATAAGAATAATAACTATATATATATATATATAATATAATTAATTATATTAAGTATCTATTCTAATAAAGGTACTAATAATTACTTTACTATATATAGTAACTAACTAAAACTTAATCTATTTAGTCTTCTACTTTAGAAAGGCTATACACTATCTTTAAGTATATATTTTATCTACTAAAAGCTTATTAGAATAATAGTTTAACTAGACTTTAGAAAAGATAAAATATAATTATTATATAATATAATAGAATAAGTAATAGATAAGTATATAAAATAGAGAATAAGATAATATATAAAATAGTATACTTAAAAAATATATAGAAGTAAACTATAAGCTATAAAAATCTAATAGTATAGATAGCTAAGAAGTAGATATACTAAAAGACCTTTAATAATATAAATAATTAAATAATAATAACTACTACTTAGGCTAATAGATAATATAGCTATAGTAGCGCTATACTAAGTAATATAAAAAGCTAGATAAAAGGTTTAGACTAGGCTAATTACTCTTTAGAGAACTATATAGATAGAAAATAATATAATAGAAAGTATATAGCTATATTATTCTACTAAGAATAAATAATAAAACTTAAGAAAGGTTAGAAAAGCTAATATAGTAGATCTTAATTTAGGTATAGCTAGAAAAGAAAAGACTAAATAATAAAATAGTAGTAGAAAGCTATTATAATATATAAAAGAGATAGTAATAGCTCTTTTAGTAAAGAATACCTAACTTTATTAGTAAGTAAATAGTTAAACCT